CGTATAAACTATATGTGTGATCTCATTCGTTCATTCAGAATTTTGATCGGTGCCTCTTAGCATTCATTGGTTACGATTGTTTACTTCTAGCATGATTCAACAGTTTGTGCCTTCCATTCAGAACATACAAATGGGTCTTTTTTTATTAGAGTATCTTCATTATTCTTTCTTGTTTGATTTTCTAGTGATTTTGTTGTGTATTCACGTGGTATTCAATGGCTTAGAAACACTTTTCAGTTTTACCCACATATGTGTAAAATAATGACTTTTACTGCCATCAAGTGGATGGTTCCGTCTTGCCTTTTTTGCCGGAACCATTTCTTGGGTTTTTGGCTGTTGTTCTTTTGACAAATTTTTACTATTTTTAAGCCCTTTGAATGGTTTTCTCGTATAAACTTTACTCTCTGCACACTTCTTCTTTTCTTTAGACCCTTCATTTCCACCACCCAACATTGTCCCAAAAACCCAGCTTGCACACTCCTCAGAACTTCAAGAAAATCTTGATTTTCAGTATGTACAACTTTTACACACACACCCACCCACTTGTTTCCGTGCTTTGCCTGAAGATGGATAACAAGACGCTGCTCTTCTTCGATAAGAGATCCTTTCTTGATGTCAGGTTTAAGATAGTTTTTCCACCTTTCCAAACTGGATTTGGGAAGTGGATGGGTGGGTAGGGGTTGAATGGAGAAGAAGATGAATAGTATTTTGTGTTTTGATTTAATTATTAATATATTGTAATTATTTTTTTTGTTGAAAAATGCAAAGTTACCATTTTATCATTTTCAAATTAGTCAAAATAATGGTCAATGTTAAATCTTTGGTCAACTAATGGTCAAATTAACAGTTTCCATCCATTTGGACTTCCACTGCGAGTTTTTGAAAGGTTTGGTATTATGGTTGGCACAAACTAAAGGTTTGGGCATAATCTGCTAATAAACGAAAGGTTTGGTACCTCGACTGCAATTTTCCCTATTTATAATATTTTAATGTTGCAAGATGCAGTCAACGTTACTTAAGTTAGGAAAAATTGCAGTAGAGATTCCTAATCTTTTTATTTTTTGCAGACCCTACCCTAATCTTCATTTTGTGCTAGCGGGGTTCTTAATCTTTCATAAATATGCATCTTAGGTTCATCTGGTCGAAAACCATCAAAAACACCATTAGTTAATCGGGAAAATTCCTTGAACTATCTACTATAGCTATAATTTTATTGGATGTTGATATCTTTTTGGACAGTGTTTTGGACATCCAATAAAATCATCGCTGTAGTAGATAGAACAAGGAATTTTCCCGATTAACTGATGGTATTTTTTATGATTTCCGTCCAGATGGACCTCAAGTGCATATTTATGAAAGGTTGGAAACCTTCGTTGACACAATATGAAAATTAAGGTAAAGTCTGTAAAAAAATGAAAGGGTTAAGGACCGCTGCTACAATTATTCCTTAAATTTATTAATTTCTATTCATCGAATAAAACTGACTAATTAGAAGATCAGAATTAGGAATTCTAGTTTGTTTTAACAATGTTGAAAACGAGTCCAATGCAATATTTTCTATATTTTTCAATAAATTATTAACTTGTTACAATTAATTTCCACTCAAATGCAGTTTTTCTATATTTTTTAATAAGTTATTAACTTATTATAATTAACTTCTATTGATTTCAAAGTAGAGTTTGGGTAAGAAGATAATAAATTTTATTAGTCTTACACGAACATACATATTTTAAAGAGGAAAAAAACATTTAAGGCTTGATTGGTACAGATTTTTTTAAAATTATTTTTCTACAAGACCCACAAGTTTTTCCCATTTTTCAACCAAACATTAAAAAAAAAAAAAGTTATATAGATTAAAAAAGTGACAACACTCAAAAAGTAACAAAATTCAAAAATAGTAACAAATCAAAAAGTGATAAAAGAAGTGACATAAATTCAAAGAAAAAGTGATAAAAATGAGTTATTAAAAAATGACATACAATAACACTTTTATTAAATCAACTTTTTAATGATATTTTACCAAATCTACATTCAGAGCTTCCTGCTATACCATTTACGTTCGATGCTTCTTTGACTTATCCTTGTAACACGGGATGAATGTACTCGCAAGCATAGTAAGTAAGATGATTCCTGGAGAATTGCCTCAAGAAATATTAAATCTCAGTTTATAAACCCTCAACATTCAACCTATCCTATTAACTTTTACCTTTTTTATCCTTTTATTTTTTCCTATTTACGATATTAGCTCAGGCATCTAGACTAACTGGTTTCTACCATATAATATTAACCAAAAATCATTAGCCATTTAAACAAAACCTCCCCAGATTGTTGCATCGAACAATTATCTGAAAAAAATAGTACATACCCATCAATCCAAAGCATATATCCAATATATCGAGAAACATATATCCAATTATAAGCTTGTATAATTTATTCAAGAAACTACAATACGGTACCTCAAATACAAATCAATCGAGTAAAGATCGAATTACAAGGAAAAGGACGATGAAAAGTGGAAGGATTATGAAATCTTCATTTTCTGAGTACGATTCCTGCTCCCAAACAATCGATTTCACCGATTCAAGAAAACTCATTTCAAAGAATGAATGAAACATAAATTATTGCTGGTTTATATATGAATGTTTATGTATGTATATGAATGTGCTTGAGTGGGTTTGCGAGATTAGTTGGTTTTGTGGTCTTTTTTTGTGCAATTAATATGCAGCTGTGGAGTATTTAAAAATATAGTATGTTATATTTTGTAACAGCTTTTCACATAATTTTCAAAATTGCCTCATATTCAGGGTATATAGTCTAATTTCCTCTATATAGTTTGGGGACAACATTGCGGACTGATTTAATGTTGGGTGGTGTGTCCATATAGTATATTTTGCTATGATAAAATAATAATTTATAATAAATAAATTGTGGTTTTATTTATCTATTGCATTTATTTTTTATTGAGATTGAGA